TTTTACCAAAAATGACAAAAATATTCACCAAAATTAGAGAATTAAAGATATCATTACAAAATGAACAAATCTGAGAGAGGTCCACATGTAGTACCTATATATGTAATATCAAAGCAATTGCACTTGCGGTTTTTAACAAGAAGTTGAAAATATCACTTTTTACCAAAAATGACAAAAATATTCACCAAAATTAGAGAATTGAAGATATCAACATGAAATGAACAAACCTAAGAGAGGTCTACCCAAGGTACATATACACCAAGTATCAAAGCATTCAGGCTTGTAGTTTTCAAGAAGAAGTCGAAAAAGTAAAACATTGACACGGACGACGACGACGGACGACGACGATGACGGACGACGACGGACAATCACTCATATGATAAGCTCCGCTCGACAAAGTCGACAGCGGAGCTAAAAAGGAATTCTACTTGGGATCCTATAGGATTCTTTTCAAATGCTTACAAAATTTCTACACAAGGCAAGTTAGGAAAATATAAAATCCTATTATTAAAGAAATCCTACAGTAAGAGATTAGATGACTAAGATATCCCGTATATATCCATTGTACCCTTAGATAAGTATAGAACAAATTATTTGGAATTACCTCAATTTGTTTTTTTAGAGTATCTTCTAGTTTTTTATACATTACATCTCTATCACCAGTTGGTTGATGTCCACTTGCTTCACTGTACATGAAATCAGTATCAGCACCAGGTGGAGCAGGAATCTACAAAACATGGTAATGTTATTAATCATACTCAGCTATTGTTATCATCAAAACCCAAAAATTTATATTTAAACTTCAGAAATTAGATTTAAACTTACACTTTTTAAATTGACTGGTAGTCCACTTTGAGAAGCCATTATCATTTGATCAAATCCCTAGAAGTAAAAAATAATGAATAACATACATAATAAAATAAATCTATAAAAATATCTGAGCCAGTCATACCAAATTTGAACTGCAAATGAGACTATATGTTGTTTGACAATATTTCCTAGTTTTGGATAGATTGAACTAAAATTACTTGGTCAAATGAAAGTGTTAACGATGACCCCGATGGCGACAATGACAGACATGGTAACACAGCCTCTTCATTATCATTATAGGTAAATATGTTTCAAAATATAATAAATTGAATTAGAATTGCACTTCCTTATTGCTAATGTTCATCAAAGAATGTTTTTTGTAAGTTTGCAAGATGGTCCTGTTACTGCATATATAGCTGATGGTTTTACTGTACAAGCTAACTGTCTGTTGAAGCATTCTACGTTTATTTTAATTAGTATTGCATTATCCATTTTTTATGGATAATAATTTGTATTTATTATTATGAAAAAAATTTACACAGCACAAAGTTTGCATTTGACATTTAATGAACAGCACCAGTTACCCGGTAAAGATCAAATATGTTTCCGACAGTTTTAATAATTGTAGGCTGCTAAGATGATAGTAAACAATCTATAAAAGTATTTACTAATTGCTATCTATATTACCTTAGATTGTTTTAGAAGTCTTTTAGCTTCATCAATATCACCTCTATTCTTGGCTTGCAATGCGGCTGTTTTGAACTGCCTTTGTCTTGATTGCAGCAGATCAAGTTGTTGTTTATTCAAATTACTCACTATGTAATGTAAAAAAAAAAATTTTGAAAAAAAAGAATCTAGCAGCAAAACTTGAAATTAAAATTTGAAAGTTGTCTATTGTTTGTAGTCATAATTGTTCCTAGAACATGTTACAAGTGAACACAGAACAAAGTTGATGATGAAAAAAATGAATTGCTCAGCATACAGGGAACATAGACTGACATAGGCTGCCTTAACTTAACCATGTATGTGCAGCCAACATACGTCACCAACCATAGCTTAATTCATTAAGGCCAGACTTAATATCAAATCTTTCTTTCTGTGTTAAAGGAGTTTAAAAGTTTGTATTTGTTATTTTATTTTATTTTGTTTTGTATGACCATTTTTATCTTCTAACTATTAAAATGAATTATGATGAGTTAATAAATATTATTAAACTGTCATCGTAACGCCGTAAGTTACAGCGAGTCATAAGTTCCAGGTGCAATAAGTTACAGCGTGCCGTATTTACAGTGGGCCATCACAGTCACTCTACTAGGACGGTTAGGAAGCGCTGCGTCGTTCTATTGTAACTACCCTTGTCTCAATAAACATTGAAACAAAAGCGGTATTAACGAGCTAAGAAGTCATTAGCATAAAATGGGCGACGGAAAACACACGATAAATCGTGAGACAGTGCGAGAGTTGCGTCATTTTTCCCCCACAAAGCATTGCAATACCCTTTCACCGAAAGAGCAGTCTCAAATGCGGAAATAAACACGCTTTGTATATACATGTTCCCCCCCCCCCCCGAGAAAATCTTGCTGTCTTGTATGGCATTCTGAAATTACTAATAGTTAATAGAATACTACATTAGTATATCACCCAAAAATTCCCACACAAAAATTAACATCCGGGTATTTTACCCTGTCTTGACTGAATCAAAAAGCAGTGCGGACATGCTGAAATAAACCGTTCATAAGATTGTCAAAAAGCAAAGTCATAAAAAAAAATATTCAAACGAAACTAAATATGACTAGTAGCACCAATACAGCTGAACGATATTTGTATCAGTCGTCAAATAAAGGGAATGGAGGGATATGAAAACACAACAATCAAAATCTCTTTTGTTCAATTACTTCCATTGAAACCATGCAATAAAGCAACATGGCGACCACCTCCATAGATGACGAAAACATGCAGAATTTCGCCATAAAGTGACTATAAGAACACACAAAAATTACGAGAATGAACAAAGGAATATTGTAAAGGTTTGCAGACATCAATGTTTTTAGCGATAAAATTGTTTCTAAACTGAGCGAGGGGTTTATTTTACGGACCGAAAGACTGTTAAAGATCGAGACAAAGAGACTGTCAATAAAACAATGTTTTTCTCGAGTAAAGCATCTTCAAGATTGCAAAAGAACGCTCATCTGTAAAATACAATATCACCCCTAGTCATAGTTAAGTTGAGATTGTAGTTTGATGTAAAAATAAAGCACAATTTCAAAAATTCACGGTCGTCTCGAGCAACATCGAACGCATAAATGGAGAAAAATAGCGCCCTCTGATGACAATTACGTCATAGTTTTGAGACCAGCGTAGGTTCTTAGAAGCTGCTCGTTCACACCTTTCAACAATAGCGCTTCCTAACCGTCCTAGTAGAGTGACTGTGGTGCCATATAAGGATTGCAATGATTACATGTGTAAGCGTCCTCTAATAATAAAAACAAACATGGCTGATTCAGTTCTAAACTTTTTGAGTTACGGCATTCCCATGATGTATCCTTGGAAGGAAAAGCTGTATAATAATAAGGTTAGTATGGGGATACCTCAAACTATGCACTCAGATAGTACGTCGTCGTATCTACCTCCGCTACGTGTCGGTCGATACTTCCACTGTACTGTCTTTGTGCATACTATCCTCGTAATAATCTCATATTATTATAATGCACGTATCAGTATTTTAGACAAGAAAATGAGATTAACTATACCTTTTTTTGGTGGTGATGCTTGTCTTGTAGGTGCTGCCTTCATTATTATGTTATCCATTGGGGGTGATGTAGCCACTGCTGGTACAGCAGCACTGGCACTGGGAGTAGCACTGGGACCAGCAACAGGTAGACTGGCTGCAGCCTGGTTAGCTTCACTTGTACCAGGTATAGGTGGAAACCCTGGCAACACAAAGGAATGAATCATATATAAGTATGATTAATTATTCTGTCTGTGGAACATGATTACAGAATTCATAATTTCAGAATTGTTGTCTTAATAATTAATGAAATATGCAAAATTGTTGACATCCTAATATTGAAAAATAATACAATAAATACAAACAAATTCTGCATATTTCATTGTTAGTAGACGTCATTTTTGCATATTAATGAGGTAGCAAAGTGAATGAATACAGCACCTCTAGTGGCAGGTTATGCACATGTTCAACTTGTTGGATTAATACACATACCTGGAGGGCACGGAAGTTCTTCATAATTTACTGGTTCTCCTAGTTTTTCTTTTTGATAGCATCTTCAAATTGCTGAAACAAAGACGTTTGTCAGGTTTATGTGAAACAGTGTGCTTTGTAAAGATATCAATCTTTCTACACGTAGACCAAAATTGTTCTGACCAATCACCATGGAACTTTTTGGAAACAGAAAGGTCTGATAATAATAAAGTGATCATGATTACTGGAAAATGATTCTATTTAAAGGAACAAGCAGCAATGACTTCAGAAAACAACTCGAAAAATCTCTATCCATTTTTTTTTTACAATCACTTTGGGTTTTTTTTGGATCATTTTAACCACCTTTGGATGGCTAAAACTTTGGGCAATCAAACATAAAAATGAGTCTTAAATTTTACTTATAAAGACATCTTATCCAATCTATTATTTTTTACATGAACTTATACCCTAAACAATGTTTAAATGAACATATGAACCAAATAAATCGTTGGATGCAATAAACGGTATGACTTAACTGGAACAAGTCATTGAAAATGACACAGTCCCCGTTAAGTTCTCTTTGTGCTCGTCATATTAAAGCGGAGGGGTTGTCGCGAGCGTGTCCTTGAAACTTGAGTTTCAAGTGGCGTATACAACAGATTGTTTATTTACATCAAAACACGTGTTTCGTGTCATAGTAATATGGCCAAAATAAAAACAGCCGTTATTCAGCCATCTTTGATCTGATTATGAAACACATTGATATGTATGATGTATGTGCCAAATACGAATGAAAATGGTACATAAATTATGGAAATATAGTAGTAAGGCCAAAAAGTCAGATGGCTGTCAATCGGCCATCCTTGACCAGATTTTGAAACAAATTGTCATGGACATGCATCCTAACCTGTATAAAGTACATGTATGTGCCAAATTTGAATGAAAACTGACAGAGCACGTCCAAGATACCGCATAAAAAAACAAAAACAAGATGCCTGCCAGTCGACCATCTTTGATCCAATTGCAAAATAAATCGTCATGGACATGTATCCTAACATGTATAATCTACATGTATGTACCAAGTTTGAATGACAACTGACAAAGCATGTCCAAAATACAACATTTTCAAAAAACAAGATGGCTGCCAGTCGGCCATTTTGAATCGAATCGCTAAACCACTGCATGTGCATATGTCCCACATAAGGTACTAGGCACATGCAAAGAATGAACGGAATCGGTCTAAGGGATTCTGAGATAAGACTCCGGACGGACGGACGCACGGACGCACGAAGACCGAATTATAAGTCTCCGTTTTCGGACTTCTTCCAGTGCAAGCTTTTTTGTGCTATTGTGAAGCCAAAAAACAAAATGTGCCAATCCCAAATTTTACACTACTGAGTGAACAGCCAACCACCAAACCCAAACTTGTAATCTCTGATACTGGATGGACATGACAACCATTGAGCTACACATCATACTGATCAAATTTGACATTTTGAAATCCTACCTAATTTTAGATTTTCTAGGCCTGTATCTTAAATTGTTAATGTGAAATTTATGATATTTATGATGTTTTAGCTTAGCTACACTTTTCTTTTTCTTGTTTGTGTTTTCATGCATTGTATTCTTTCTCATCCATTGCAATGCAGTGAATAACAAGAATACATTACACAGTGTAAATAGTTTATGAATTATCCATCCATGTCATTACAGTCAAATACCTTAACTATTCTCCCCATTCTTCTGGCTTTACTAGAATTGTCTTCTTTTTTAGCACTTTCAACTCCAGCTTTGTATTTGTCAAGCCTTTGTTGTAACGCTTCTAAAGGGGTCTTTGGTGGCGAAGGAACACCAAGTGACTGAGGAGGTGAATCGTCCATTTCATATGATTCCATTTGTTGACTTGGAGGAGGGATTTCTGGCTGAGTACCTATCATCAACAAACAACAAATCAGCAGTAAAGATTCTCATTATTCAGCTCTACATCATCTATCCTTTCTTTTTGAATCATTACTTATATATTTAATACAGATACAATATTTGTAACACACACATTTACATAAATGTACATGTTTACTTTGACGTAATTTTAGTGTTCACGCTACAGTATGGGCTAGGTTTTAAGCAGAGTAAGACATACCTCACATGTTTGCCTTTGGCTAGACCCAATTACATCCACGCACTGAGAGGGCTATTCCCTAGCACAGACTAAGGAGCGCCATCAGTCAATGACCTTTGTTAAGCCGCTGTTTACGAATGCAAAATTTCTGCTGCTGACATGTTTCAATCAAATTTCAAAGCGATGGGCACAGAAACGCAGAGAAGACAGACGGACCCAACTTATTTGGATGCACAGAAAAAGTATACAACAGCATAACGGAATGCAGAGTTTTATAAATGCATGTTGTAGGCAGCGAACCAAATTTATTTTGCCTATCATGCAGTGTGTATAGAAATGATAGCACATGACACATGACATAAATTGTATCATGTCACTGAATGAACACATCAACCTCTGCTACATATTATCCTGATAGCCTCATATATACAGGGCTCGAAATTAGTGGTAGCCCCGCGTCCACAGACTACCAGTTTCTTTTATGGGGCTACCACTTTTCAAATTTGGTAGCCCAACTCGGCTACCAAAAATCCAGGATGAGACAGTGTTTACTCTAGGATGCGTGATTGCCCGCCTACTACACACACCCTTAAAAAATTCTCCGAGGGCAAAAATCGCCCTTTTCCTCACTGCCCATTGAATTCTTTTTATGATGGCCTGTGCGTGTATTGGACTGTGACATGCCAACTAGCTTGATGATACAAATAACAATCACCCTCCCATATATTTCGTTTAAAATTGTGCGTCCTTATATTTAAAGAGCATTACCTTCTTCGGGTATGTCAGGGTGACACGTTAAGCAACTTGCCGAGGCAACAATGCATTGTCCTTCCCGCTTGTTGCGTGATTTAATTAATTATTTTGCTTGTCCAATTGTTGATTATTACTCAGTAGTGATTATATTAACGTATAAAAATATAAATTCGTTGAATTGTTAGGAAATGCAACTTAGTTTCATCGTAAGCGAATAATTCCAAACACATATTAAACACTTGATGCTGGAGAATATCCGCAATGCTTTGACCTGGGACAGAGTTCTTTGACCTGATAATCACAAATTAACCAATCAAAATGGTGGATGATGCCAACGTGCTCATAGCTCATTTAAATAAGTTAATGTTATTGAACGCATCACAGAAGAGATTTACCGATATTGTAGTGCGATCTTTTGGCTTGGATTTAGATGGGAAAATGGGATGGGTTTTTTTTAAAACAAAAAATTAGTTGTTTTCAAAAGATAAACTGAGCATTTGAAGAATAATTTAACATTGTTTATAGTGATACAAGCTCATTGTTGAAACAAAGCTTACCCATTCACGCTAGTCACCATAAAAATCATACTCTTGAATAGGCGTCAATGACTACGGTAAAACTTAAATTTGACTATATTAGGCG